TGATCAAGTTACTTTCTCTCCAGGAATGCAAGAAGAGTTCAATATATACAAAACAATAAATGTAATACAGCTGGGGATGTAGCTCTGTAAAAGAGGAATTGCTTGTCTACAATGCAGAAGTTTCTTGGTTTGAGTCTTAACACCACAATAAATTGCAATACAGCATATAAATAAACTCAATGATGAAAATCCCTGAAGACTTCAAGAATAAAAGGAGCATATCCCAATATATTAAAGGCTATATGCACAAATCTATAGGTGGCTGTACTAAACAGGGAAGAACAAAAAATTCCTCTAAAATCAGGAACAAGACAAAGAACAAGTATTACTTTTCTCCACATTTACTCAACATAGTGTTGGAAGTTTCATCCAGGCGGTAAGAGTAAGGAAAAGATAAAAAGATATAAATAGAAAGAGAAAAAGTAAAATTATCTCTATTTGCAAATGGCAGAATTCTACACTTAAAAGACTCTAAAGACTCCCCCAAAACCCACTTAGATCTGGTAAACAATACCAGCGAAAGCGCAAGATACAAAATCAACTTTAAAAAAATCAATACATCAATATGAACACACCAAGAAAGACAGGGGCAAAAAATTATATTCACAATAGCTTCAAAAAATTAGGTAAAACACTTAGAACAGAGAGTTCTTACAAGAAGAAATAAAAATGTCCAGTAAATATGTGAAAAATGTTCAACACCCGTAGTCATCAGGAAAATATAGATGTGGCTTTGCACAGTAAAAAAAAATGGATTTATTTGTCTTTACCATTCAATAAGGTGCATTTGCTTGATATTGCTGACAATTTTACCCTTTAGATAACTTTTTGGAGCCACCACCAATTATACACTACTTCTCCCTGGAGAAACCACTGGTATAGATATCCTTGTGTTACCTTGTGTTATCCTTGTGCTACACCAGATATGCCTTCTGTTATGGGATAAAGCATAAAAACTACATGAGGAAAAAAATTCACTTGGAAAGAATAAATAAAATTTCTTTTATAAACAATTATGTTTTCTTATGGATAAAAATCTAATTATTAAAAGTACTAAGCTGAACTAATAACCATAATAATAATGCTAATTATAATAGTTGATATTTATGAAGCAAACCTTCTATGTAATAAATCTAGGAGAAATTTTGTTATTAATACTACTATCTTTAAAGGAATAACCTGAGGTGGAGAAAAGTGAAATAATGTCTAAGATCTTAGAGTAAAGTTAAGGTTGGAAATCAGGTTCTGGAATTCTAAAGCCTCTGTACTAACGTCTTATAAACTAACTGTTGAAAATACCTGGATTTTTCACATATAAATGCAACTTTTATTTTCTAAACTGAGTTGTCAATCTAATCACTAACTTCAACTTTCTCAATGCAAAAATAATCATGCTCTTAGACTGGCGAAATGGCTCTGTGGGCATTTATCGCCAAGTCTGATGACTTGCATTATATCCCTGGACACTACGTGGTGAAAGGATACAACCAAATCCCATAAACTGTCCTCTAACCTCTACATAGGCACTATATCATGGCATGTGTGCACTCACACACATACACTTACATACATATGCAATAAATAAATGAACAAATAAGTAAGTAAATATTTTTTAAAAAATCAGTAATCATCGTGCTCTCATTAGTAGCTCCACATGGTGGGACTGATAGTGCACTGGTGATCCAGATTTTCAAAACACATTATTCTCATCCCCTATTATTGGCAAAAACACACTGGCTCTAGTTGAAATTAAAGCCCGAGTCATAGTTCTCATGTATCTGGTAAGATTGTCTAGACTCTTCTGTCGATCTGCTAAATGAACGTGGTATCAAACTGCCTTTTAAATATTTATGCTTATTCCCATAGACTAGTGCAGGTCTCTGTCTTGGTAGAAAAACTTCTTTTGGCAGTGGGCAATAGTCAAAGCAGAGACTCATAACTAGTCAAAGTGCTGAGAGTGACTGTTGAATTCTCAGCCCTAAATGTGACATCTTTATCACTCCTTCTGAGGTCTAGGGAACATTGCGAAAGAGAGGGCACAAGAACTGTAAAGGCCAGAGGATGGGGAGGGTGGGGAGAAGTACCACGAAATACTGTTTTCTGGATATGATATGGTTGTTGCAATTATGAATACACTGTGGCCATGACCACCTGCAGAAGACCTGAGGTGGGGGAAGAGGAGTATTTGTTGGAAAGAAGGAGGTCGGCAAGAGTGTGAGGGAATAAGAAGACACTGAGGAGTTAATATGATTGCAATGCATGATATATGTGTGAAACCATCAAAAAATTAGTTTATAAGGCTGGGTATAGTGGGGCAGACCTTTAATCCCAGCACTCAGGAAGCAGAGGCAGGTAGATCTCTGTGAGTTCAAGGCCAGCCTAGGTACATAGTGAGTTCTAGCCTACCTGGGGCTATAGGGAGACCCTGTCTCAAAGAGACTGAAAGAAAAAAGTAACTATAAAACAACAAAATATTTTTAAAATACTATTTTATTGTAAAAGAACATATTGCATAAATAATATAATAATGTGAAAAAATTAAAAACTTATTCTGGATCAGCAAAACGGCAGTTGCCACCAAGCTTGACAGCTGGAATTCACATGATGGAAAGAGAGTACTGACTCCTACAAGTTGTCCTCTGACCTCCATACATACCCTGTGGTACATGCACATGCGTATACACATAAATAAATAAGCACATAAATCAGAAACACTTCTAACAATATCAATTTTCACTTTCTAAATTCTTTTTGTCCTAATATAATCATATATATATACATATATATATACTTTAAGTCCATTAGTAATCAAAATATAAAACAAAATTTGCATATTGCCTCATTTTATATTTTATGTTCTACTCATTCTATATTTATAATTATCAAAGCAGTTTTCTTTTGCTTTATTTTAATTATTTATTTTGAGAATTTCATACATGTGTATAATGAATTCACCCCCCAATATCCTTCCTAATCCCCATCCCACTCCCTCTGGACCCCATGTTCCCAAAAAGTCTGCCTCCTACTTTCATGTCATTGGAAAGGATGTTTTCATTTAGTTCACATATTGATGTACTACAGCAACAGCAAATTGGGTTTTAACATTTTAATTTCAATCCAATAGCCTGTATGTTGGTTGATTTTAATGACCATTTTTAAGATGGACATTAATGTAATAAATAGAGAAGGAAGATAAGAAAAATGAAAAATAAAAAAACATTTTCCATTTTTGAAAATGTTCTAATTTCTATCATCACAAGTGTTAAGACTGATAAACACACTTCCAAATATATAAAGTCGTGTAATTTAAAAAAAGAATCTTAGAATTACAATTTCCATGTAAAATCTTTCTGTGGCATCCTTTTATTGTACAATCTTACAGGTATCATTCAATGTTTATTCCCTGAATTCTTCTATACATATTCTCTGACTCCCACTCACAACATTAGGTTTTGCTTCTGTGTCCATAGAGTACTTCATGTGCTCCATTTAATGTTGATGTTTAAATATTCTGCCAGCTTATCTGACAGCCTTCACCATAAGATTGAAAGCATCTAAGAGTATGATTCAGTGCCAGCTCCATAGATGTATGATACAAATATTTTTGATGAAGAAAGAAAGTATCCTGTATGAGGATCTTTGATCTCCAAAGACCATTCTTGGACAATAATTCAGGAAGCTTTTCACCTGGTCCCTGATCTAATATTCCCCAAGTCCTGCATCCATTGCGTGGTGAAGTGCTAGGAGTTTGTTTGAATTTATGAACTTTAGACAATAAGAAAGTATGTTTTGAGAAGCCCACAAGAAGAAAGTTGGGATCAGGCCAACCTTCAAGGATGAATAGGATTTACATAGACAAAGCAGGGTGAGAAGAGCACACTGCATGTCTTAAACACACATACAGAAGAACAGTGTCTGTAATGATTAATTAAATGCAATTAAGGTAGAATTTTTTAAAGAATATAAATAGATCCAATCTTTGACTTATTTCATCCTAATAGATATGATTTCTCTGATTATCATCATGTAGACATGTTTTGGGAAGAAGCAAGGTAGCATAAGTAAAATAATGATTCTACTTGATCATATAACAAGGCTGAGTCTCTCTTTTAAAACTGTTGCCTAGTATGGGTGAAACACACCTGTGATCTTGGTATTGGGGAGTAGTGAGGCAGGACGACTGCAAGGTCGATGTCTGCCTGGGTTAGACAGGGAGGACCTCTCTAAGGCTAGTACACAAGGAAACCATTTCTCCTGCAGCATAAGAACTAGAACTTTCTTTACTGTCTTGTGTCCTTGGCCTCTCAGCACATTTTATTTCTTCCACATAATTGGACGTTAAGCTGTGTCCTATCTAGCCTCTACATCAATATCAAAATTGGCTACTAAAGGCTAGAATTCTGTTCAAAATTTAAAAAATTACTGGTTAAACATATATATCTTTTAATTAAAAATCAACACCCTGTAGATTTCAGGGTATCAGACATTCTTTAACAAGCACTAGCATTAAAGTGGCAGTAAAAATTTCAGGAAGGAATTCATGAAAGGATAATGCGTGGTTGAAAGAGAGTTATGGGTTGGAAATCATTCAGACCCTAATGGAAGGTTAGAGCCTGAAGAGCCAATGGCTGTTCATAGACAAGCAAAAATAAATGGCTATAATTTTTGGAAAGGAATTTAAGTTGGGAGCGAGAAGAAGCAATTTGTCTCTAATGCAGAAAAACGCAAAACTCCTTTTTAACTAGTCAGTTCTACTGCTTTCTTAGGCACCACAACTCAATTTTAAAATTTTCCCTCACTGGGGAAATGTGACTATTTATTGTTTTTGGAGTGGCATACAGCTCATATTTTACTAATGTTTTTAAATTAATTAGTAAATGTTTAGAAAGCACTTTGAAGATGAAAAGTTGTGTAAGTGCTAAGTATGATCATTATGCCATTATCATAAAACACATAAAAGTCATAGAATCTTGTAAGCTAAATAAGTGGAGAATGACTGTGCCACACAGCACTCAAGGGGAAGATGGCACAGGGACAGCCTCGGTGGAGAGAGGAGGCATGGACGTCCCTGCAGAACAGGTGAGTGTAAAAGGGGTGGACAGCAGGGTGGCTGCCATGTTCTGGAAGGACTAAATTTGTTAGCTGCTCAACTTGTATATTAAAGTTCTTAGAAATGAGCAGCTCCCTCAATGATCTTGTGGAAACAGGAGCAATACAAATTAGAAAAAAAGGGGGGGAAATAAAAATGATTGAGTTGGAAACCATTCAAGTCTACTCTAATTTTCCTGAAAAATCTTTCCAGTATGTGTGTAATTGCTGAAATTTGAAGATGTTTGGAGTGTTATCTTGAAAAAGAAAAATTCACTATGAACATAGAAAGAACACTAAGTATGTATTTCTGTCCTTAATGATGTGGGCTGACATAGACCTTAATGTTTATGTCTGCATTGTGGTGTTGTCCCCTTAGGAAGGGATTAAAAACAGTTGAAGTCTTATTTTCCAATTATTGGAATACCACAATGCTTCACTACTCTATATTTTTTAGTGGCATGATTTTAAATTTATTTTGGAAATAAAGACAAAACAAGAAGAAATGATTGTGTTTCTTGCCATTATCAATGTCATTTGATCAGATCACAATTGGCCTGGAAGCAAAAGAAATGCGCTGACTACTTAAACAACACACACAAGTGGGCTAAAACTTTTGCATTTTAATTTTTTAAAATTAAACACAAGGATAAACTTAAGGATAAGTGTTCACATACATATTAGTCTTTTCTGGCACTATGCAGACCTTGATAAACCCATTGAGAAGCACTATATTTTTAATAAAATTTTTATACAAGTCTTTAGTTTGAGTATTGATAAGTTATAACTTCCCAAGAACAACTTTAATGATGCTGCTTTTCACATTCATGTTAATATTTATCCTAATTAACTGTTAGAGAAACATAGAAATAATTTCCATAAAATTAAGTTATTGTTAATTTCATTGATCAAAACATAAAATAATCTCAGATCTAAGTAATGTATATCTTTCATTTCAACTTAATCGATATTTTAGATTTCATAAATAATATCTGAGCAATATGTGAAAACAGACCTCTTTTATCTCAATGAATTAATAATTTTAAGTACAAATCAATTTCAGGCCATAGTTTCCATTATATTCTTTATAAATAATCCTTTACGGCATTAATCTTATCATTATTAGACCTGAATGATTCTGATATACACTTTGTGAGTTAGTAAAACACATGTGGAAAGTTAACATGTTACTAAAATCAAATGAAGTGTATTTATTTTTATTACAACTCCTGTCCAAGACTTAATTTCAGTTTAATGGGAAAAATTGTTCTACTGGTTGATTCCCTTTCCTTAAAATTGGAAAAACAGGATGGATGATTTGCAAATTATTTTCCAGTTCCTGACTAGGAAGTCTCTCATTCCAAAAATATTACTTAAGGATGTTGGAAATCAAATGACATTTCCCTATTAGAAAATTCTTGTATTTAAGGATTACTTCCTTATCACTTTGTAGAGAAATCTGTAGTCAAACAATAAATGGTTTCTGAATATCTACTTTTTATTTACAGAAGCATGATTTTATATGGCTCAATCTATTATAAGAACACAATTGACAAGGATAGAAAAATACATCCCAATTGTTTGCCACATTGAATTCTCATTATTCTCACTTTCATTGGGAGGGACTTATTCCACTGCAAGATATGCGAGTAAAAGGAAAATATGCAAGCAATTACCAATAAAGTATGGAGGAAAATGTCTTAGGGCACACATTCCTACAGAAAAGTAAATTACCAGGGCTTATCATATCATTTAGTCAATCACTTTATTCAAAAATTTAAACACTAGTCTAGATTCAGCAAATGAGTTGATCAGACTGAGAAATAAATGTTTTCCATCTGAAGCAGGAGTTCTTGAACCCAGATTTGCAAGGTTAGCCTGAGTCACAGAGCAAGACTCCATCTGGAAAAATAGGGGGAGGGGACGTTACATAGATTTTTCCCCCAATTGCAAAAGTTCACAGGTATCATATGGAAACATTGAGAGACACTGATTTTTTGTGTGTGCAATGTTCAAACTATTGGACAAAGTACTTTTTAAATGACAAGAATCTTTTTTTTTAAGTAAGATGAAACTGCTAAAAAGTAAGACTTGGACATTTCACCTGCATTGGAGCCCTAACTAATACTGTTTCTTTAGGAAAAATTATCTTTTCATAGACTCAGTACTAACTAACTAAAAAAGTAGGTTTCCTGGTAGATACTTAATTTTGTTAGCAAATAAAAATCAAAATAGATGTTAGAAATATCTTACACACATTCATAAAAGCATATTTTATACATGTATAGATATAGTATATAAACTACATAGAGTATAGTACATAAAGTTTATATCATATATAGATATTAAAATATTAGTTTGTATTAATACAAAATTCTGATGTTTATAAATATTAGCATTAACTTATATTAATATTAAGTATTAATAGAAAATACAAAGTATTTGTAATGATTTGAATTGTCTACCCCATACATTGATACGTATATATGACTATACTTAGAAAAGGGTAAATTAAAGTGAAGTTACTGGGGTAGAACCTAATCCAGTACAGCTGTTGTCCTTATAAGAGCAAGAGTTAAAAATAGATATGTATGAAAGGAGGACATTGAGAAGATGTAGGGATAAGACAACCATCTACAAGTCAGGATGGAGGCCTCAGGAGAATCCAAACCTGTCAGAATTTTATTCGCAGTTTCCAGACTCCTAACTGTGAAACAATATCTTTCTGTTATGGAACACAGTCTGCATAATGTGTGACGGCAGCTCTCCCAAGCTAATACATAACATAAAGCACACAAAACAAGTTAATTTTGTACAGTTTTTCACTTTACATATATTAAGGAAAAAATGTAAAATGATCAAAACCTATGAGCACAATAAGCTAATTTAACTTCTAAAGACACTTCTATAGGTGTGTGAAATAAAATACTATTTTATGATAATGAAACATAATATGTTAAAATAAAATTGCCTCCTGATTTATTAATAATATGGCAGTTTATTCTAAAATATTTTAAAGGGCAGGGGAGATGGCTCAATAGATAAAGTTCTTGCTATGCAAGCATAAGGATCTGAGTTCAGATCACCCGGCCACAAGCAAAAAGCCAATCTTGGGGGCAGAGCGCCTGTAATCCTGAATCACAGTGAGGTGGAAGTGAAAACAGGCAGATCACAGTGGTGGCTGGGTCAGGAACTCCAGGTTGGGGGTTGGGTAAGAGACTGTCTCAAAAACTAAGGTGGAGGGCTGGAGAGATGGTTCAGTGGCTAAGAGCACTGGTTGCTCTTGCAGAGGACCCAGTTTCAGTTCCCAGCACCTACATGGTGGCTAACAAGTGCCCGTAACTCCAATCCCAGGGGATCCAACTCCCTTTGCTGGCATCTATGGGCACTGCATGCACATGATGCACTTACATACATGCAATAAAACACTCATACACATAAAATAAAAGTAAGTTAATAAATAAAAATTTTAAAAAGACAAGTGGAACTGAAGAGACAGTCTTCTGAAGCTGTGGACTTGGATTGGGTTACTTTCTCCGGGGCTAGAGAAGAAGGTTACACGTTTCAGAACCTTTGAGATGCTGTCCTAGGAAACCAGGGCCCTACCTAATTTATTAGGTTTTTAAAATTAATGTCAATAAAATAAAATTGGATTTATTTTTTTTAAAGGTGGAATGAGATAAAGACACCCAACACTGATCTCTGGCTCTGCACACACATGCACAGGCACACACATAGATTAAGATAAATAAAGCTATGTATATTCTCTCACTCAGTCTAACTACTGTTTCCAAGATAAACTTAGTGCCTAAAATTTGCAGCATCATGATTTGTAAATATAATAATGAATACAGTTCAGAGCTGAGTGAAAAACAGCAGATCCCCAGAAGTCGCATATTGTATGATTTCATTTTATAATGTTCTTGCAGTACAGAAACAGAAGACAGGAAAACAGATTGATGGTCTTAGGAGTTAAGGAGGTCAAGAGAGAGGAAGATAAGTGGACTAAGTTATTAGAAAGGAAGCATGAAGGACACGAGAGGATAGAAATGTTCAGTGCCTTAGCTATATGCATGTAAATATCCTGGTTGTGATATTGCAGTAGATTACCATCAGAGAAATTGTTTAAAGGGTACAAGGGATCTATATGCTTTCTTACAGCTGCATGCAAGTCTGTAATTGCTTTAAAATGAAACATTTTACTTAAAAGAATGCAGAAATCCCTTCTCTTAGGAAGAAGATTCTACAAGATAACTTGCCCAGTAATTTCAACAAGACAATGCCATAAAGAAAAGGCAGCATATGAAAGCTGTTCAGTGAGACATACAACAATCAGACGCAATTGGGGATTTTTATCTTAGGTCTATTCAAACAAAAGTCTGTAAAAGATATTTTAATACCAAGTAGAGATACTTATATGTGAACTTGGTAATAGAAGATATTAAGAAATTAATGGTAGTTTCACTAGGTATATCAGTGGTCAGATAAATAATACTTTTATTTTCTAGATGGAATATAAATTGCTTACGGTGAATGTCATGATATAATTACCTCATTATAGCTACTTTAAGATACTGCAGAAAAATGAAGTAAATATTGCAACATGTTAATAGTTCTTAAATCTATGTGATAGAAATATGGCAGTCTGTTAAACTAGTCTCTTATGCATATTCAGATTTTCAAAACAAAAAATCAGTATTTCACTTCTACCTCCATGTAGAGTCCCTTTCTTTGCTCCACTTTTTGCAAGTTCTTTGAAAGTTGGTCAGTGGTAATGATCTCTAGTTCCAATTCAATTCTCTTCAAAACTGTTTCCAAGCATGTCACTTCTAAAGTTTTCTGTAAAATCACCAATGAATGTTAATCTAGTGGCTTTGATCCTCATTTCCTTGTTCTTTTTTAAGTATCATCTAGCTCAGCTAAGCCCCTTCCTCATCCTTGATTCACCTCCACTGGCCTCTAGAATGCCACGTTCTCTGGGTTTTCCCCATCCCTCACTGATTGTTTCCTCTGGGTATCTGATAGGTCTTCTTCTCTCTTTAATATCCTAATGAGGAAGTACAGCTGGTGAACCTATCTTGATCTTCTCTACTAACACTCCCTTGGTATTCTTATCTCGTGCCAGACTCTAATCTATATGCTGAGGAATGACAAGTAAGTATGATCAGCCCACACTTCTATTCCAAACTTCAAACTTGTGTATCTAACCCACATCATTTGAATACCTAATGAATTTCCTAAACACAATACTACTCTATGAACAGCCTTACTACCTCACCTGATGACAACTCTAACTTTTAAGCTTTCCAGCTAAAGACCCAGAAATAATCCTTGATTCTTCTCTTCCAACCCATCCATCCATAGCAATTCATCAGGACACCTTCATCAACTCTATACTTAAAATATGTCCAAACTTCAACCTCTTTCATTTTCTCTACCTTTATTACCCTGTTCTAAGGCAATACCATCTTCTGCTTTAATTATTTTAGTGATATCCTGTGCCTCTCCTACTTACCGTCTGAAGTTTATTCTTCACAACATCCAGAGGCATTCCATCAAAACATTAGGTCAAACCATCACAATCCTCTGCTAAAGCTGCCCAATGTCCCCATTTCACTCAGAGAAAAACCAAAATTATCATGACCCACAAGGCTCAGTAAGAGTGGGGCAATGATATCTCTCACCCTTCCTTTCTTATTACTCTTTCTTCATCCACAGCTCCACCTACACAATCTTGCATAGCAAGCCTACACTTACTTCTGGGCAATTGTTGCGTTACACTCTTTGACGTATTCCAGATAACAGCATGCATAGCTTGCTCACCTGTTTTAACTATGTTCACATTTTACCTTCTTGATATGTCTCCTCTGACCATTCTATAGCATGCAGTTTCCCACTACCTCCACCTAACACAAAGCTTGTATTTATGATCTTCTTTCCCAGATCTACTTTTTTATATAGCACATAATACCTTATAACCAGTTAAGTATTATATTTGTTTATTATATTTTAGTTTTGTTCTCTACTCAGTAAATTGTAAGTTGTGTAAGGCCAGAGATGTCTGTTCCTATAGTACTGCCTGGCACATGGTAAAATAACCTACTTTTTGAAGGAATTAATGCATATTGACTTATTATCAGCATATGTACTGAAAAAGAAGCAGCCCAAGCACTATATTTACTAATTCTATACTGTTTCCAAATTCATCAGTTTACTGAATCCATAATTAATGTAAAATAACACATTTTACGCTTAACATTTCTGAGAATCAAGTTCTTACTGACACTCTCCTGTCCTTATACTCAGAAGAACGGAGTCAAAAACAAAAATAAAACTCACACGATGTGGAAAGATCACCCTGGGTGTCTTGATAGCAGTGATTGCTGCTGTAGTCATTGGACTCCTTAGCTATTTTGTCACCTGTGGTAAGTATCCTTTACGTTTGGCTTTTCAGTAACAAGGATTTGTTGACTTCATACTGGGAAAATTAGGAAATTTGAGGAGGAAAGGGAACAGATGAAGTTTTGTTGCATTTTTTTTCTTGTAGTCACTAACATTTATTGCACTACTATTTAAAGCTTTATTGAGGAATAACTGACATAGAAATAATTGCACATTTAACATATATTTTAATGAGCTTTGGCATATGAGTCATGACGCCATCATTACAATTAAAATACTGAACACTCCCATCACTTCCAAAGTTTATTTGTCTCAGGGAATTCTAAGACTAGAGATTTGCTGTGCTTTTTTTTTTTTTCTTTTTCTTTTTGGGAAAGGTTTTTGGATTGAGACTAATGAATAGAATAAACACAGTCCTACTTGATACACAATAATTCTATAAGGAGGCAGTGAATGAGCTAACAAATAAATATAAAAGCTGAGATTTATTTATAAACATCTGAGATTTCTTACAACAAAAATAAAACTTCTTACTCTGAAGACTACATTTTTCTCTATAAAATATTTTCTACCCATAAAAGTCTTCCTTAAATATATGCTCATCTCTAGTATTGAATAGTGAAGGAATAATAAGTCTACAAATTTTTCCACATATATTTTACATAAAACAGGAAAAATTATGGAGTTACTAAGTTTAATTTCTCTTAAAAATAGCATATCATGTCAAGTTCTCTGGGTCGTGCTCTTATTTTAAGTTCTTAAGTATCATTCAGATTTATTTTATGGTACATATTGTGAGGTGCCATGTGAAAATTTGATATATGTGCATAATGTTTAATGATCTAATCAAGGTGATTATCATTTCCAACTCCTTAAATTTTACCATTCCTTTGTTCTTGAAACCTTCCTTTTTTAAATTCTAGTTCTTAGTGAAATATATACTTGTAAAAAACAGTCCTTAATATGCTACAGCATATTAAGGCTTTCTTCCACCTAACTGTTGTTGCATACTTGTTATCTGGCCTGTTTCTAGCCTCTGTTTCTCTGCACTTCCCAGTCACTAGTGACCACTCGTCTATTCTCTAATTTTATCGGCTCAACTTTCATAGCTTCCACAGACAAATGAGATCATTCAATGTGTCCTTCCTTCTACATGAGGAAATTTCTTCCTACATTCCAATAAGAGAGTAGTTCATTATTGAGAAAATACAGGAAGACCAAAAATGATGGTAAATGTAATATTTTTAATTAACTTTTATTTAATTACATCTACCTGTGCTTCCAAACCAAAAATCCATACAAGTATAGGAATCATAGTTTATTAAGTCTATAAGAACAATTATTGACATTCAAATAAACATTTTCCCCTGGAATCATCTGTTGCCACTATGCTCCCATTTTATATAACTCATGACTCACAAATTGAAAGCTATTGCTCAAAAACATGGTAGTATTTTCCAAAAAGAAGATGTTTACATTTGAAAGAGTCTGTCTAACCCAACCAACACCCATTTCAGTTTACAAAAGGAAAAGCACACTGACATAGACATAGAAAAAATGTGCAGAATGAAATACGAGGCAGCTCTCACAGGGACTAGGATTTGTAATCATCTCTGCTTCATCTTCCACATACACCTATTAGACACTTTGCAATGCCAGCTGTTACACTGCTAAACTGAGTTACAGTCATGACTTATGCCCATAAAACTATGAATAAGAAGTACTCACTTAAACGATAGACACTGAATTCATTGTCTTCAATCAAGGTATCAGAAGTTAGAGGTACGAAAGAACTTGAAGAGGTTATCTTTAGAAAACGATGTGCTTTAATTTCTCATACTATTATCACCATCCCAATGTGTGATGAATGAATGGTATTCCCCCTTTACATCAGCTAAGAGATGGGCTTCATAAAAAAGACCAATCAAAAAAAAGAAAGAAAAAAGAAAAAGAAAAAGAAAAAAAGACAAGTCACCTTTCAAAAGTCACCTTTCAAAGACACCTGCAGGTTTTGTAATACAACAGAGTGGAGTCTGACTCACACATGGAATATCTAAAAGATAAGAAGTGGTTTCTTGAGCTAAACAGATGATTCCATGGTTAAGAGTGCTTGCTGCTCCTCCAAAGGACACAAGTTGGGTTCCCAGAACCCACATCTGGCAGCATACAACCACCTATAACTCCAGCTCCAAGGGATCCAATTCCCTCTCCTGATCTCAGGTGCCTACACACATGTGTCATATACTAACACAGACACATAGACACACACACACAAATAAATAAATAATAAATAAATAAAATTATGTAAATAAAAATAAATCTTTAAAAAAATAGAAATGGGTTCTTGATGGTTCAGCAGTGTAAAGAGAAGGCGGTACCCATGGAAAGTTTGAACAGCTAGAGTTTGGACAGACACTATAAAACTGTTACTTATGGAGCAGGTAGAGACTTTCCAGAAAAATAAAGGTCCATACTTTCAGATCCTAACCAAGAAACTATCTGTAGAATTAATAAGATCTCAAGATAAAGAAGTGGCAGATGAGTCTAGGTGCCTAAATGTTGAGGAAGGAGTAAAACAAGTAGGATAGAGATTAAATTTATCCGTTAAAAAATAACTGTAGTCAAGACATCTCCAGCAATGAAGAGGAGAGGAAGCCAAAGACCAGAAGAAACAGACTTACAGTGTTCTTTTGAATGAATCTGTTGGCATTGTTTAAATATTTTGTAGTTGCTGCCCCAGACTCCAAACCCAGAAATAGTCATATCTTCACAGCAATTATTCTTTCACGTGAGTCAGTAGTTGTCTAAAGACAGCTGAGAAAACCAAAGCACAGTCTTCACACATGAATACCATTTTACCTCCACTTCGATTACTACTAAATCGTAATCATGTTTTCTATTTAGTTAACCTTCTCAAGAAGATAATTAGTACTCTAAATAAAATGAGAAAATGATAACAATGTCTAAAACTGCACAGATAGAATCAACATTTAATGAGTGACTGCTTTTTTTCTTTTTTATTGAGCTTTTTAAATTTCATACATTTCCCACTCAAATACAGACCCCCTCCCCTATCCATGCCTCCCCCTATACCCCCACCAAACCCTATGCATTCTGCCATACATGATGAGTCCTATTCATTCAGATGGTTGTACCCAAGTGTCCTTCAGTGTAAATGCGTCCTCACCCACCCACAGCTCAGGGACCATTGCAGAAGAGGAGGTGGAAAGTTTGTAAGATCCAGGGCTGGTTCATGAACACAGAGAGGTGGAGGCTTCCAGGCCACTGGAGGCTTGCTTATGTGAGCCTGCAGCACTGGTGGCATTGAGCAGGGGAACCATATCAGCTCAATTAAACAAGGGCCCAAAGGGAAGGTGAGAAATAGGTGGTGGGCCAGCACTAGATAGAGAACTATTTGAGACTGATTGTTGCTGAGTGAGGGAGAGAGTGACTACTTTTTAAAAGCAGGTATTAATCTAGGTGCTTTATATAGCAAGTAAATAAGTATAGCTGTTTTCTAATAAATACTTTGGACCCTAAAGTTTGAATTTCATATAATTTTCATATATCACCAAATATTTTTATTCTGTCTTTTTCAACCTTTCCAAATGCAAACTATTCTGTTCATAGAGTACTCAAAACCCGACTAGATTTGATCCTTCCCACCACAGTTTGGAAATTCCTGTTCTAGACCAGTGAATTTTAACCCTGACTGCACCTTTGAAAAACTTTCAAAAGTTTGGGTTTTTTTGTTGTTTTTTTTTTTACAAAAATGCTGCTAAATGGGCTTGGAATATAGCTCCATGATAGAACACTTACTTTGCATGTATGAATATCTAAGTTCAATTGCCAATTCCTCTGAGATGGGGGCGGTGGTATTACATATTAGTCAACTAGTCCCAAGTTATAGTTCTATAGGAGAAATAAATTCTGGTGTTCTATTGCACAGTCGGATGACCATATATTGTGATAACGTATTGTACATTTATTGTTTTAGTATAATATTTTTATTGATTTTTTGAGAATTTCATGAATTCATGCAATGTATTTTGATCATAGTCAGCTCCATTCCTCCCTCAACTCCTCCCAGCTCTACCACCCACCCTTCTACAGCTTCTAACTTTGTGGCCTCCTCTTTTTAATAGCCTACTTATTCCAATTTGTGCTGCCCATATATTCATGGGTATGGGGCCATCTGTAAGAGAAAGGTTGACCAGTCAAGGGTCATATCCTTAAAGAAAACTGACTCTCCATGCCACAGAAGTCATCAGCTGTCAATAATAACTCGGCTAGGCAACCACAGCTTGCAACCACAGCTACTATGCTTTAATGATTGCAATGGTCCTGTCACATCCAGAAGACACTGATTCTGTCTGGTCCTCCCTGACCTCTGGCTCTTACAGTCTTTCTGTCCCATCATTTGCAATGGTCCCTGAACCTTAGGGAAGGGGGTGATATAGATGTCTCATTTGTGGTTGAGCACCACAGATATTTATTCTCTTCATTTGACCAGTTATGAGCTTCTGCATTAACTGCAATCTACTGCACAAATAAACTCTGATGAGGTCTGAGAGCTGCACCAATTTATGATTGTAGAGATACAAATTTTCAAAGCAATGTGATATGATGTCCATTTTTTAAAGATGAGGATAAAAGGATTTTGAATATTGTTATCATAAAGAAATGATGTTGATGGAAATAGATATATTACCCAGATTTGAACACTATAAAATATAGATGTATTAAAGAATCAAATGATATCCTACAAATATTTACAATTATTTTGTCAATTTAGAGTAAATTAAGCCTGGCACAGTGGCACACACTTTTAATTCTAGCACTCGAGAAACAGAGGAAGTTGAGACCTCTGTGAGATGGAGGCTAGCCTGGTCTACATAGGGCTACAGGGAGACCCTGTCCCAAAAATAAAAATTAAATTTTATTTCTCTATTTCTTAAAAATATGAAAAAAAATACCTTTATACAAACCCTATTCCCAAAGATGCTGCCTGTAGTAAAACCCATAACATCCAAAGCTTTCCAGGTAACTCTAGTGGACAGTCAAGATTGAGAACTGCTGGCCCTAAGGAAGACAGATAAAGATATAAGATTAAGACATATGGAGATTATGGTGGTGGAGAGCTGGCTCGGGGGTTAAAAGCATTGGCTGCTATTGCAGAGGACCCAGGTTTGATTTCCAGCACCCACATGATGGCTAACAACTGTTCTTAACTCCAGTTCCAAGGGATTTGACACCCTGTTCTGACCTCCATGGGCATTGCATGACACAGGTGCACTTACATACATGCAGGTAATACAGTCATATACATAAATTAAAATAATAAATCAAATATTTTTTAAAAGACCCATGGAGGTTCAGGGGTGAGAGATCAAGATTCACTATGTCATTTCAAGGTGTCAGGGACCCACGCTCCTTTTTTAATGTAGCTCTGCTGTGCATAAACTTTGTCAAGGTCACCATAATATCCAAGGCACCTGAGCTGGTTAAAACCACTCTTTACAAATTCCAGCCAGTCAGTCAGAAAAACAAGTGTGACTTCTCTCAATAAGAAAACATCTTGGAAGCTCCAAATATATTTTTCATTCCATTTGACAGAAGACAGATGCATTTGGATCACTCCTAGATAAAACAGAGACCCCAAAATGCAGGTTTTATATTATGAGAGCACCTGCTCTGTTAAAAATAAGAGCTTGTATCATCATAGAAAAAGAGAAGAATGACAAGAAATGGCTTGTAGTTTATGTCTCAGGAAGTGGGTATTACATTACATCAGCTTAGTTTGTGAGGAATTGGTGAGGAAATTGACATGAGATTGCTTGTAAACTTTCCTGATATGCTTGGAGAAAGTTAATCTTTCTCACTAATTTATTTACAAATATTATTATGCTACTCATAAGTGAAAACTTTTAACCCCTTTCCTCCTCCTCCACAAATAGCTACTTTAGTTTCAAGAAACAGAAAATGAAAGCAAAAATCTAGGCGTCTATGCAAAAGCAATGCCTTCCCAAATTCACTTTTATGTGGTTCATCTTTTTTTGCTTTGTGTCTAAGTGCCAAAATTATAAATATGCAAGTTACTTTTCCTAGGGTGCCTCTTCAATGCCAAGTTTAATAATATATTCTGTAAAGAGCATTTTAAACTCCCAATGGCCTATTTGGGAGAACATAGTAAAACACTACTTTCACAAGTCTGAAACGTGGATAGCAGAAGTTGAGGACCAAGCTGACATCCAGTTGTGAAAAAATGCAGGAAGAAGGGCACTTATAGTGTTTCTGGCTTAATCATAAGTCCACATGTACATGTATAAGGCCAAACACAAAATGAAAAGAATTCATGAAATTCCATTTGTTATAAGCTCATTGACATCTATCTAAGCAATCAGTTTAAATGCACTTTCCCAAAAACAATTGCTGATTATCTCAAAGTAATTTTTAAATGTAAAGAAGAGAATTAGTGAGGACCCAAGTCTTCTTTAAGCTCTAAACCCTTACCCATCATGTGACCTTGATTAATTGAAAAAAAATTACCATTTTAAGAATGAAAATAACATTTAAAGAAGATATTATGTCCTAAGGTTTTTCTTCCCATAGTCTAAATTAGATTTGAAGAACTGGAACTGACCCTTTTACCATCCATTAGTTCCTATGAATGCAAATGGTAACACTCAATTTACTTCTTTCTGAGTCAGAAATCAGTAATCTAACAGGATAAAGAGCTACAAAGTCTTTCCCCTGTAGTACCTAGACAAGCAATATCATAGCAGAAACTGGATATTTCTAAAGATAAGTTAAGCAGTATTTGTCCAAATAAAAACGTAATGACAAAAAATGTATTTCTTTAGAATGGTCCTGAGTAAAGCCTGTGACAAGAAAATAGTACACATAATATTTAAAATCAAATGTCAAAACTGTAAATACTAGAAAATCAATAGCTGAGTAATTACAGAAAAAAGTTCCTTTAAAAATTGTTTACCAGGGTCCATGAGATGGCTCATCAAGTAAGGATGCTTGCTACCAAGCCTGACAACCTGCGTTCAAGCCCCAGGGCCAACATGGTAGAAAGAGAGAGCTGACTTCCACAGTTTCTCTAACCACAACAATGCTATGGTATATGCATGCCCTCCCTCCACAAAATAAATGTACAAAAAAATTTTAATTATTTTTCTAATTAATATATTTATTGAGATACATGAGAAATACAGAAAAACAAATAACAATTAGAGACTATCAATAATCCTACTAGTCAGAATAATGTAGCATCCTGACCCACAGTCCATTTTTAGACATAAATTTAATGTTGAATTCATTATACTAAGAGTAAATTTTGAATGGGAGAGTCATAGAACAAAATAAAAGAATATATTTCAAGCTTCTGTAACATTACCAAACTGTCTTCCAAAAATATGCTACCATTCCATCAGCTGACTGTAAATGTGCCAGACATTGTGTATCGTTTGTGTGTGTGTGTGTGTGTGTGTGTGTGTGTGTGTGTTATCCTTGCTGACTTAATCCAATAAACAAAGTGATAAAACGGTGTGCTTGCTATGCAAGTATAAAAATTTGGGTTCAAATTCCAAGCACTCACATGAGAAGCTAGGTACAACAGTGAACCTTTGCATCCTAGAACTGGAGACAGGTAGATCCTGGGGGATCTCTGCCCAGCCAATCTTGTCAAAACAGTAATTTTAGAAAACAATGAGCTTGTGTCTCAAAGGCAAGTGGAAAGGCAATTAAAGTTAACCTGATGTCAGTCTCTGGCCTCCACATGTACTCACACAAGAGGACCTACACCCTCACACACATATACCACACACACACACACACACACACACACACACATACATTCCCGTGCCTAACTTATTTTATTTTGTACTTAATTCTTTGTGAAAAGCATGGCAGACTGCACTAAATAAGTAACTGAAGCTACTGACAAAGAATTTTCTCAAAACATTGCAAAACGCTCTTCTTTCTCTCTTTTGTCTTCTAGTTCTCCTTCTTTCTCCCCCTTTCCTTTCCCTCCCTCTGTATGCTTCTGTCTTAGACTTAAGCATACAAAAGGACCTTAATAATTAAAAAGAGATATTTTCTATTAGAATTATTCCAGCAATGACGCTCAGCCTTGCTCCCAGTCCATTTCATTGATTTTGGTAACTCACAGGTGTCATCTCTTTGTTCCACTTATTTACTGCTCAGGACGTCAACTCATGCTTCATTTTATTTTCTCCATATTAATTTTAATTTCTTAGGCATTTTGTGAATAAGAAATCCTGTGATCTCACTGATTTTCCAAGATGTAGTATATGGCCATCACAAGGACTGAGATAATTACTACATTTTAATGTAATTTTGTTTTATAACGCATCTGTCCCCATATTGTCCAAACTTGAAAACTGGCACATTAAAAGTTTACATTAAAAAATCTTGAATACATTTTTTGTGAAAGGTTATAATTTAACACTCCTCCACCCAAGCAATTTCCACAATCACTGGGCATCAAGACCATTTCTATGTCAAGTAACCTCACATTTCATGAACAAATTCTATTTCAAATGCTTTCTTGGAATCAAAGTGGTTGAACAATGCACAATGAAAAAAACCTATCTTCTTTTTCTCCCCTCAGGAAAAACACCTTTCTACTATCACATAAGCTTTAAGGCGAAGAACATTGATTATGACAGCAAATTTGCAAAACCATATTCTCAAGAATATATGGACCTAAATAAAAAGATAGAGACTTTGGTAAGTTGAAAATGCTCCCCCCCCTTCCCGTGCAATGATCCTAAGTGTTAAGGTACTAGCAGTCACCTTCTAAGTTAGAAACAAGTTCTCAAAAATATCTTAGCTCTAGATTAAAAAGTCAGCTGTGTCAGAAAGTCAGTCTAAAAACTTGAACAGTGAAATGCGTAAAGGAAACACATTTCACGGAAACCTAAGGACTATGGTGCATGGGAGTCAACATTTCAAATGAACTAATAAATTAAATGAATAACATATGTACTGTCTCAAAAATGTATGACTAAGGCCAGGCTACTTCTGGTCATAAAATTAACTAGTCTTTTGAAGAGGAAGAAGAAGAAGAAGAAGAAGAAGAAGAAGAAGAAGAAGAGGAGGAGGAGGAGGAGGAGGGGGGCAACGACTGGCCAATCTAAAAGAGAATGTGACCCAAAATAAAAATCACTTTATAGGTCTTCACTGTTGGGGGAAGGCTGAAAACCATTTGCTTAGAAATTGGCTTTATATTAATGTTCAATGGTCAAAAAATTAGTTCTAAGTACCTATATTTAAAAATCAGGAAACTGGAGAGGATGGCTTAGCATTTAAGAGTACTGGCTGCTCTTACAGAGGACCCAGATTTGATTCCCAGCACCTACATGGCAGCTAACAACCACCTGTAACTCCAGTTCCAGGGGATCCAATGCCCTTTCTGACCTCCGCAGGTACTGTACAACATGGATGCACCTACATACATGCAGACAATACACTCAGGCAACATAAAATGAAAAATAATGAATAAAATATTATTTTTAAAAAATCAGAAAGAGCACATATAAATGACTTAACAGTACAACTCAAGACTCTGGAAAGGCAAGAACAAACCAAACCCAAACCTAGTACATGAGAAGAAATAACAAAAATCAGAGCAGAAATTAATGAAGTAGAAAGAAATAAAGCAAATACAACAAATCAACTAATCTAAGGGCTGGTTCTTTGAAAAGTTAAACAAGATAGGCAGATCCTTAGCCCATTTAACCATTACCAAGTTGACTTTATTCCAGAGATGCAGATATACGTAGTCAATAAATGTAATAAATCATATAAATGGACCTAAAGACAAAAATCACATCATTATCTCAATAGATGCAGAAAAGGCCTTTGACAAAATCCAACATATATTCATGTTAAAAGTCCTAGGTGGAATTGGTCTGGAGGGAACACACTGCAACATAATTAAAGCTATATACAACAAACCCACACCCAACATTATTCTAAATGGAGAACTGGAAGCATTCCCATTAAAATCAAGACCCAGGCAAGGCTGACCACTATCTCCACTCCTTTTCAATATAGTGCTTGAAACTCTTGCTAGAGCAATAAAACAAGAGGATGAAATTAAAGGAGTAATAATTGGAAAATAAATAGGTCAAATTATCACTATTTGCACACAACATGATGTTATACATATGAAGGTCAACCAAGAGTCTTGAGTGTGCTTTGGTCATAAGTGTCTGTTATCACAGATACTACTATAATTAACTCAGACGATTTATTAACAAGACTGACCCCTCAGGAGCAGTGGTGACATTTCCTAAGCAAGTTCCTGATAGAGCAACTGCAGACCCTCAATCTGACTAAAATTTGTCATCTTTCTACAACATCCCGCTGCATCCTAGTTTCTAATCAAACCAGAATCCTGAAAGTCTTGGTGTGTTTTTGCCATCGTGCAGAGTCAGTAGTTCAAAGAGGAAGGCAGAAAATTCTGAGTTTTTAGCTTTCTGATAAGAAGAAACAAATGGATACTGCCCAGTAGTTAAGAAAAAGCCTTTGGTAAAATATGCTAGACTAAGAGAGACAAATATGCTTGTTTTTGCTTCCAAGTGGAATTTAGATTTTAAAAGTATATAGGTAAGGCATTAAAATACAATAGGACTCTTTGGGAAGAGGAAGGGGATCAGTAGACAAGGATAAGGAGGCCAAAAATGAGGAAGAATGAGCAAAGAACATAATATAAATCCATGAAAATATAATGAAGCCATTTTATACAATGAATATTAATAAAAATAATAAAATGCAGAGACATAAATGGACTCAAGAGCCTTATTTAGCCCTAAAGTTAACAATTCATTAGCTATGTGACATTAATCATTTACTTTCTCTATACTTCAGTTTCTTTAAGTAAACACAAGATCTCAAATGCCAACATAATAAGGTTGTTTGTAGACATTACAGAAGTTGAAATGTGATTTAGGCAGAAGTCCTGTATTTTGTGAGTTTGAGGCCAGCCTGGTCTCCATAGCAAATCCAGGCCAGCTGGGGCTATAGGGAGACCCTGTCTTGAAAATCCTAGGATGGGCATGGTAGCACACACCTTTAATCCCAGCACTCAGGAGGTAGAGGCAGGCAGATCTCTATGAGATTGAGGCCAGTCTAGACTGCACAGCAGGTTCCAGGCCAGTCAGGGATATGGGGAGACCTTTTTTCAAAAAGTTTTAAGAAAAGACGTTCTAAAAAGTAATTACCTGAAATTAGTGCATCATTAATCTTTTTTTTTCATTTATAGTTGTTTTAGTTTTTGAACAAACTCTAAGTATACAGCAATGTTAATGATACTTCAAAACAAATTCTAAGAAAATTATCCTTTCTGCTCTGACTTCAGACCATTTCATTAAAATCAATTAGCTCCTGCTTACTTCTCCCATCATCCATGTCCACCAGTGATCACATCTTCCTTCAGTCTCCTTTAACAACTCTCATTCCTAGTTTCCAACACACCTGCTAATTTTTAAAAATTAGATCAAAAGAGATGCTGCTTTGCCATAGATGATAGTTTGTTAACCACAAAGAAAATGTCTTAATAGAAAACATTTTCATTGTTCAGTTATTTGGTTTTATAACGAACAAGTCAAGAAACCTGCATGCTTTTTCATTATTTCACAACTTCTTAAGAACAACTACAGGGAAACAAGATTGTACTGGTTACTTTTATGTTGCTGTGATAGAAACACCATGACCAAGGGAACTTATGAAAGAAAGAGTTAATTTAGTTTACTGTTCCAAAGGGGCAAGAGTCCATCATGTCAGGGAGGCATGGCAGCAGAGGTGGCTAGAATAGGAGCAGAAGCTAAGAGCTCACATCATCAAGCAGGCACAGGACGCAGAGAGCAGCTGGAGAGCTGGCAAGGCTTAAGAACTCTCTAAGCCTGTCCCCAGTGATGTGCTTCCTCCAGCATGGCCACACCTTCTAAGAACTCCCAAAACAGGGCCACCAACTGGGGAAAAATGTCCAAATACTTGGAGCCTATGGGGGACATTCTCATTCAAACCACCACAAAGATCTTAGCAACAATAATTAGCTTTATTACTTTTAGTATGATCTAAGCACTTTAATATCAATATTTAATCCTCACAATGTCCCCATTTCATACAAAGAAACTAAGACACTAAGAGATTCAGCTACCCAAAATCATACTTCAAATATGCTTCTACTCTATGACTTTTTGTCCTATAGAGTACCAAGATACTAGAAATTCTTGACCATACTTCAAATTATGTAAAAGTAACATTCAATAAGTAAATTCAATATGGTTTTCATCATATAAATGCATTGAGTTATAGATGTTCAGGAGTCCTGAGTTTACCCATACAAAGGAGGTTAACCAACCTTACACATAAAATCATTTAGTGGAGTGTCCAAAAGCAAGGGTGCATTAGTTAAGTATACAACCAGAGCATTGTCAAATAAAATGTCCACTGAGCTAACCTGAACCTGCTAGGGGCCCCTGTAGACATATGCCTCTATTTAATGCAGCCTACCAAATGACAGGTTCTCTATGGGATTGATCAGAATTAGAAATACGCAATTTTTAAAGAGTTAAAAAAGAAAATACAATTAGTAACAATAATAGCTTATTTTCCATTTACTATAAGTTAGCAATGTTACAGTTTGAATAAAAATTATATTAGTGTTCATTCAGCTCCATGTCCCTCAAAAAGCATCAGAATATCTAGAATGAATTCCAAGATATCTTAAGTTCAAATTTTATTATATTGGCTGTTTTAAAAACATTTATCTGATGGATTAAGTGGAGATTATTCTGAATTAAGATTCTAGAAATAAAAGAACTAAGAAAATTCAAGCTTTATTTAAAATGGAACCAACATCATGGCACTATTATTTGTATTTGAAGCACTTTAAGGGTATCTTAGTTTCATTTCTCTTGTTGTGATAAAATATCCTGATTAAAAAGCAACTTAGAGGAGGAAGGATTCATTCCAGCTCACAATTCCAGGTGGTAGCAATCTTTATGGGAAGTCACAGTGGCAGGAACCTGAAGCAGCTGCTCACATCACATTCATAGCCAAAAGCAGAGAAATGGATGCTCACTTACTTGCGCCCAGCATGATCTCTCCGTGCCTACAGCTCAGGACCCCCTGACTAGAGTAGTGCCAGCTACACTGGACTGATTCTTCCCACATTAATGAACTCAATCAAGGCAATTCTCCAGAGACCTGCCCACAGGCCCTCAATGTAGACAGTCACTCATTGAGACTCTCTTCCTAGAGGATTCTAGGTTGTGTCAAGTTGACAAAGCTAATCATCATATTTCACTTCTTGTCAACTCAACACACAAACACATCACTTTTAGGTCATAACCTTTCACTCCTTGTCCCCTAAAATCTAATTTTTTTCATAATATAAAATACAGTCCAACTTTTTTTTCTTTTTTTATTGAATGCTTGTGTATTTCATGTAGAACAGCTCAAACAATCTTAATCATCTTTATACCTCTGTCCCCACTGGCACCCTCCCATAACCCCACACACACTGGAGCTCATATACTCTGTCATCCTTGTTAAGGCCCACTGGGTTGTCAGTGTCCTCAGCCACTCCCCAGTGCAAGTCTGTCCATTAAGCCTAGTTACCCTATTTAGAGTCCCTTTTTTAGGAAGATCAGATCTTCTTCATCTAGCAGCAATCAGTTGCCAACGTTCCTTCAGGGCAATCAACAACTACCTAATTT